ACCCAAAGAACAAATAATCCAATCAAGAAATGGGCAGAAGACATGAACAGACATTTCTCCAAAGAAGACATCCAAATGGCCAGCAGGCACATGAAAAAGTGCTCAACATCGCTCGGCATCAGGGAAATCCAAATCAAAACCTCAATGAGATACCACCTCACACCCGTCAGAATGGCTAAAATTAACAAGTCAGGAAACGACAGATGTTGGCGGGGATGTGGAGAAAGGGGAACCCTCCTACACTGTTGGTGGGAATGCAAGCTGGTGCAACCGCTCTGGAAAACAGTATGGAGGTTCCTCAAACAGTTGAAAATAGAGCTACCATACGATCCAGCAATTGCACTACTGGGTATTTACCCCAAAGATACAAATGTAGGGATCCGAAGGGGTACGTGCACCCCAATGTTTATAGCAGCAATGTCCACAATAGCCAAACTGTGGAAAGAGCCAAGATGCCCATCGACAGATGAATGGATAAAGAAGATGTGGTATATATACACAATGGAATATTATGCAGCCATCAAAAGGAATGAGATCTTGCCATTTGCAACGACGTGGATGGAACTGGAGGGTGTTATGCTGAGTGAAATAAGTCAATCAGAGAAAGACATGTATCACATGACCTCACTGATATGAGGAATTCTTAATCTCAGGAAAGAAACTGAGGGTTGCTGGAGTGGTGGGGCATGGGAGGGATGGGGTGGCTGGGTGAAAGACATTGGGGAGGGTATGTGCTACGATGAGTGCTGTGAATTGTGCAAGACTGTTGAATCACAGATCTGTACTTCTGAAACAAATAACGCAACATATTTTAAGAAAAAAGAAAAAGAAGTAGATAACAGGAGAGGAAGAAAAGGGGAGTATGTCAGAGGGGGAGACGAACCATGAGAGTTGATGGACTCTGAAAAACAAACTGAGGGTTCTAGAGGTGGGGGGAGGGGGATGGGTTAGCCTGGTGATGGGTATTGAGGAGGGCACGTTCTGCACGGAGCACTGGGTGTTATGAACAAACAATGAATCATGGAACACTGCACCAAAAACTAATGATGTAATATATGGTGATTAACATAACAATAAAAAAATAAAAAAAAAAAAGAATCAGGGATGCCTGGGTGGCTCAGTCAGTAGTTAAGCATCTGCCTTTGGCTGCCTCAAGCATCCGGAATTACAGGGATTGAGCCCGCCTGGAGCCCCACCGTCGCCCCACCGTCGCCCCACCGCCGCCCCACCTTCGCCCCATCTTCGCCCTGCCTTCGCCCCGCCTCCAGTTCCCGGCTTCGAAAAACTTCAACGATCAAACTGACAAATCACTCCTAGAACTAACTGTGAAGCGTCCCTCGGTCAGCCAGCCTCCGCACTTGCTGGTCCAGCCACCGCCCTGCCTGGGGAACCGCCCAGTGGGGATCCTGCTTCTCCCCCTCCCTCTGCCTCCCCCACGCCCCTGCTCGCGCGCTCTCTCCCTCCCTCTCTCTCTCTCTCAAAGATTAAAAAAAAGAAAATTGGAAGAATCATTGCCCACTTCCTCCTGGATGCGTGGACGTGCGGAGATCCACAAACACTCGGATAAAAGTGTCCTGCGCAGCCCAGCCCCGGAGACAGGAAGCCCGATCTCCTTTCCGGCACCTGAGTTCGTTCAGAAGCCGCTCGGCTCCTCCACTTGGTCTCCTCCAGACTTGGGGTCGAGATGCAGCCTCCTGCCACCACCAGGTTCACGCTGGGCCTCCCGGTCCTGCTGCTGGTGCGCTGGGTCACGGCGGCGGCGGCCGGATCGGTCGTGGGCGCGACGAGCAGCGGGCGAGAGATACGTGAGTCCCGGGGTTTGGGAACCTCGTCGCCCGCTGGGGCCGGCGGCCCGCCGGGACTTTGTCGCCCTCTGGGACGGAAAAGCGGCGACCTGGGGGACTACGGACTGCCACCTCTGGGGGCGTGGCGCGCGGGGGAGGGGGAGGGGCGGCGGCGGGGAGTCTGCGGTCGCCCCCAGCCCCCCGCCTGCCTGTCGGGGAGCCGGAGCCCGAGCCTCTGAGCCCCGGGCTATGGGCAGGACAGGGCGATCCCGCAGGGCCTGAACCCCACACAAACCCGCGACCCGACCACTCACGTCACTTCTCCATGAGTCACCATCCCCACTGCTATCCACTGGTAGACTTCCCAGGGCACATGAGCCAAGGTTCAAGGCACATGCAGCGCCAGGCCCTCGTTCACCGGCCACATCCCAGCACCACCCAGCTCAGGGTGGGCAGCTCTGATACCCCCTGACCAGAGACCTCCTGGCTACAGGTCCCTGGACCATACTGCAGCCTCTTGCAGGCTCACTTTCCCTGCCAGAGTGTCATTGCCTCCCTCGCTCACTAGGTGGTGGCTGTACCTAACATTCCAATGTTAGGATGTCGCAAAAGGCACAGAACATTTTCCTACAGTGTCACAGAGTCCTATGGCCCAAGAAGCAGGTCCAGTCATTCATCCATATATGGTCTATGGCTGCTTCACTTTGCTGAGGCCCCAGATTCGCGTAGGTATCACAGAGACCTATGCAATATTAATATATACAGAGAACCTTTGCACCAGGCTGGCATTTCAATGAAAATAGGACAGGGTTCAAACCCTGCATCCTTACAGAGGTTTTAGGGTTGGTACTCAACTCTGTCATTCCATCCAGGGTAGGGCACTGTTTTAACATTGTATTTGGAGGAAAGAGAAGACAGTGTGAGAATACTGTACTTGCATTTCCCTGCCCCCTAGCCCCCAACCCACAAGTAATTCAACTACAAACATTTTGCACTCCTGTAACGAATGTGGGGAACGTGCAAGGACCACTACGTGGGTGCCTGAACCGATGGTGTCACTGTGAATTCTCATTCTCTGCAGCACCTCGTGCCCCGCACCATTTCAGTAACAGGGGCCATGATAACACTAGGATCCCCGAGGACGGTGTCAGCTCACACACGAGGTCCACTGACAAGGCCTGCATGGTCTCTGCTCCCCAGGGTATACCTACCCCTACGAATGACCACATGGCCCTTTGGGGAAGGCCAGCAGGAAACATTGCTCTTGCTGTTGACCAGAGGGTCCCTCCTGATCGGAAGCTGGCTTCTGCTTCTCCTAAAGGCTTCCAGCTCTGAGAAGTGGCTCGGGTCTGGAACCTGGGCAGAGGATCCAGACTCTCTGTTGGGTGTTTGCTTTCAGCCTCCTCCTCATCCATCCTGGGGCTTGGTCTTTGTTTGTTTGTATTGTTTAAATCGAGCAGCCTCTGGGTTGGCTGTCCAGCTAGTTTGCCTCTAGGATCACTGTGTTCTGTGAGCCAAAGGGATGGAGAGCTTTCTGTGGGGCAGGCCCTGAGCAGCATTCCAAGCTCTAGGATCATTTTCAATCATGGCCGCCTCCCTGCTTCTGACAGTTGAGCGCCTGTATCTCAACTCTCTTATTTCGGGATTTTTCACCCCATTACTCCTGGGCCCCTATTTCTGCAACACCGTCTCCTACCGCCAAGCTGGGCCATCAGAGAGACGTCACTGAGCTTCTTGACAATGAGGGTGCCCTTCTCACGGTGCAGTCTTCATGAGTGCGGTAAAGAGTCCTCCTGACCTCTCCACGAGCATAGTTGGAGGACATGTTTTTAGTTTTGTTTTATGCATTTCCTGCTATATTTGTTCTGTCAAAGGCTGAGGGACGCTGGTGTCAGCCTGGTAGACACAGGGGACATTTCAATGGCTGTGTGGTTTCCTGCCAGGCAGAGGCCTCCTGATCCTCCTCAAAGCCGGGAAGGGCGCCACCTCTACTGCTGGGCGGCAGGGGGAGGCTGTGCAGGGACAGTCCTGATTCTGCTAGCTCAGCCTGGCACACATCTGTTGCTGTCACGTGGATGGCCGAGCGGTGCCTGCCGGTCATTGTCTTCCAACCCCAACCTCTACCTGTGCTTTCCCTTCGCAGATGCTCTCTCTCTTTCCTACAACTTCAACATCACATCTCAGGCCAGGCCTGGACAACCATGGTGTGAGATTCAAGGCCTGGTCGATGGAAACCAGTTTCTTTCTTACGACTGTCAGAGCAAGGAGGTCAAACCGGTTGGTCCTCTGGGGATGAAGCTGAGGGACACGGCGTTTTGGGAGAGACAAAAGGAAATTCTGGAAGACCTGGTGGAAGAGCTCAGAAAGAAACTGCTGGACATCAGAACAGGGATTTTCACTAAGAGCCGTAAGTCTGAAGGCCCAGCGCAGAAGGAGAACAGTTTGGTAGGGCCGGGGGGCTAGGGTGTTCATGTAAAACTTAGAAGCGGGTCCCACACACGCGGCCCAGCAGCCAGGGCCGACAAGGAGGACAGAGCAGGGCCGGGAGGGCCGAAGGGGAGCTGAGGAGTACACAGCAGGGGGGACAAAGGATTGGTCAACACCAGAGGCTGACTTGTTTCCCACGGTGGGCGCGGGGGGCAGATCCTCTCACCCTGCAGGGCAGGCTGATGTATGAGTGTGGACCGGACAGACAGCCCAGAGGATCCTGGCAGTTTGCCTTCAATGAGCAGATAACCCACCGCTTTGACCCGGAGATCAGAAAGTGGACAGTGGTGCATCCTGGAGGCCAACAGTTCCAGGGCACATTGGACAGTGACAGAGAGCTGACCGGCTTCCTCATGAGGATCTCCAACGGAGACTGTAAGGGCTGGCTCCAGCAAGTATTGGAGCACTGGGATGAAATGCTGGAGAAAACAGGTAACTCAGAAGACTGGATGGAGTGCTGCTTCTCTTGAAATGACCTCCCCCTTCCCCAGTGTGTATGGGGGCGCTCGCCGGGGGGGGTTGTCTGAGAGAGAGAAAGAAATTGATCCATCCATGGCAAATTCTTCTTGGCAGAATAATGGCACAGGAATGTTCTAGCATCCTTCCTTCCCCTTCTCACCTCCTGGAATCACTTCCTCGCTGCACACACCTTTGTCCTTGGGTATTGCTTGGATTTCTTGCTGGCCCCAAACAGGGAGGCATCAGACTGTTGCCGGAGATTGTCTTCTTCCTGATTCCTTTTTCGGGACTCGTTGTCTTTTTCATGTCACCTGGTGGGCTGCTGGAAATCCTTCAGTGCCACCTGGACTGTCAGCTCCTGAGAGGTGGTCGCTGTCACCATCCTTGTCCTGCATCACCTCCTGTCTGTCCCAGCAGGAGAGACTGGTTACATGGCAACCCCTGCTTCCCTGTTGGCTGTAGGAGCCCCCGGGGGACAGAGCACATTCCCCCCCCCCCGACAGCAGGACATGTCACAGCAGCTGCCACAAGTAGAGTGACAGACCCCGTCTGCCTGGTAGGGTGAACCTGGGCCAGCAGGAGCCAAGGGAGCCTCCCCCAGTTTGGGGTCCAGACCGGGGCTCTCACTCTTGCGTTTTCATTTCAGCGCCACCAACCACTCAGCAGGACACGGCCCCGGCCAGGAACACGGCCATCGGACCCGGCACCTGGATCCCCACCCTGCTCCTCAGCTGCGCAGTCCTAATTGGCATCCATGTCGGCCTCCTTTAGAGGTACAGGTCCGGAGAGCAGATTGAGAGGGAAGGGAAGGCAAATGGCCTGGGGTGAGCCCAGGGAAAGGTGAATTCCCAGCCTGCCCCCTGGCCACTCCCTGAACCTTCTCACAGGGCAATGGGACCAGGTGAATGAGAGCTCATATCACGTGTTAGCAACAGCTTGGACAAGCTCAGCCCTGAGTTCTGATATGGCCTCACTGTTAAGGCCACTGGGAAAGGGGAGGGGCCCACACCACTGCTTAAGGCCTGTTGGTGCTAAAGGGATGTAGGGAACTCAGGCCTGGCTCTCTGTAGAGAGTCAATTTGGGCCCAGGGTGGGTGGTGTGGGAACAGCAGGGACACACAGCATGAGCCGGATTCACCTTTGAGTGAGCGCAGCATGGCGGCTTCATGTGATGTGTCCAGGAGAAGGGGACTCCATCCGGGCAGTTACAAGGAGAGGGGCCAGCGTCCAACCCCAGGAGGAGGGTTGTGGGAAGGCCTCTGCAGACCGCTCAAAGGGCTGGAGAGTAGGGCCGTGTTCCCCCAGAACGTGGCTTGGGTCTTCGCATGTAAGGCAGGAAGTGAACAGTAGAGACCGTGCCTGACGGGACTAGATGGAGGCCAGTTCTCCGTGCCACAGTGGGAATCCGGGCTGAGGCTGGTGCCGTCCCTGGCAGCTAGCTTCCCGCAGACCTCAGATCCTGAGCCACTGAGCAGCCCCTGCTTTGAGCAGAGCTGGCCTGGAGATGGGGGGGAACTGAGTTGCGCTGTGTGCTCCCAGCGGAGCCGGGCCAGGAATGGATGGGATGGGGGAAGGGATCATCATACTAAGCTCTGTGTGCTGCTCGCTAGGAGACTGACCGGGAAGGGAAAAGAAGGATCTCTGGCCACCCTGTTCCCCAAGGTTAGATGTGTCAAGGGCAGGCCTCTGTCTTCTGTCGGATGCCCCAGCAGGTCCTTTAGGGCCTGGCATGAGAGGGAGCATTAGAACGCGAGTCACGTGAGCACATTGATTTCTTACTCACTTTAGTCCTGAGCCTAGACCCTTGGTAACAGGGCCTGGGGCTGACTCAGTGATTTGGTTCAGGAGGGAGGAGGTTTGTAAAGGTGGCTGGACCCAGGGCTGGGGACATGGCTGGGGGGAAATGCATGCCCCTGGGCGCGGGCTGGGCTCTGGGGTAGGGAGTGCTGGTGAAGGGCAGCCCCAGGACAAGGGACCCAGGATTTCCTCAGCCACGGAGACAAACACCTGTTCTTTCATCCTTGCAGGACAAGGATGGTGACAGCGACTACCTCTCAGGAGCTGACAGTCCAGGTGGCAACTGAAGGATTTCCAGCAGCCCACCAGGTGACTTTTCTTAGGCTGCTGAGGCTACCAAGAAGCCCCTGAGGCGGGGACCAGCTCAGCAACTCTGCCTTGGGGCTGGCTGCCTTTGGATGAGCTGCTGTTCATTTTTAGACCATCAGCGCTCTCGAGTTTACAAATCCAGAGACCTCAGTCCGACCACGTGGTGCAGGACAGGGAACCTCCCATGACCTTCTTGCATGTGGTGGTGCTCCTGTTCAGCACTTTCATTCGGCATATTTTATGCCACTTTCTCTCTTTGGTGCTAGGTGATGGTATTCTTGTGCTGAAATATTTAAATGCTTGCCCAAGAAATCTCAATGAAGAAAACGTTTTCCATCTTGTTCTTGGTTATGGAATGTCAGATTTTTCTCTGTGGGATGACCTTGTTCTTGCACAGATTATTGCCAAAAAGATATCCTTTGGAAGCTATGTAAATTCAGGGATATTTTCTGTGTCCTCACTTTTTAAAAATTTTTTAAATACTTTATTGAACTATAGTTTACATTTCTTAAAATCAACCCATTACCTCATTGCTTCTAAATGGAATCCTTTATAATGTGATTGTTTTCGGGGGCCTGGGTGCCTCAGTCGGTAGGGTGACTGCCTTCAGCTCAGGACATGATCTCAGGGTCCTGGGCTGGAGTCCTGTTTCTGGTTCCCTGCTCAGTGGGGAGTCTGTTTCTCCCTCTGCCCTTCTCCTGCTTGTGCTCACACGCTCTCTCCCTCTCAAAAATGAATAAATAAAAAAAATCTTTAAAAAATATACAATGTTATTATTTTCTTCAGTAATTTATTTCCATATACATATATCTAAAGAAGCATATCTCTTATAAAATATTTAACTTGGAATTTGTTTTATATCCCATAAGAACTCATGGAATTTTGTTTTTCCTCCACTGTATGGGGTAAATGTAAGTGTGATTCTGCTAGATTTCTTGTGGAGACAGAGAATTTAAAGATCACTGAGAAGTCAACTTTCAGGCAGTCATCTGTCAGTGTCAAATATGATCCTGACATGTCGGCATTTAACAGATATTCTGGGAATGAAGCAATTGAGAACCTTCCTGATTTCCCTAGGTCCCCCACCACAGCACTGTCTCTCCTGTCATCCTCCTTTGGTGCACAGTGAGTCTTCACAGCAGAAACAGACCTGCTTCTAACAGTTGATTTATTCCGCTCTGAACAAAGGATTGGTATCTAATATATACAAAGAGCTCCTGTGAATAAATAAGAGGTGTAGTTCTCCTAAGATTTGTGCAAATGCTTAGAGCAAGCAACAGATGGTAAATCAGCCTATGAAATCATTGAACATACCACAAATAATCAAGATAAAGAAGAAAATAGGATGCCTTACACCCACATCAAAGTGACAAAATTTTAAAGATAAGCTATAGCAAGTGCTGGCCAGGAAATGGAATAACAGCAGTTTTCTTACTTGTTGGTAGGAGTTTAAATGTAATCACTCATTTGCCCTATATTTCACCCTATCCAGACAGTGGTTGATGTGTTCATCCTACTTCATGGTAATCCCGGTGTTAGTTTCAGGCTAAAAACACATGGGAACCAAAAAGCAATGGAGATATATGGTTGTTTACTGTAGGGCTATGTGTCATAGCAAAAACTTAGTAATATGATATCCAGCTGATGTACAATATATACAATATGTTAGGAGATTTCAATTTCTCTCTACTTAAGACTAAATCTGAACTACTGTCAAAAAATGACACAAAGATGGGTCAAAACACCAGATGAACAAAGCTTTCAAATAAATATTTGAGAAATTCTGGACAACATACACTCACAGTGGCCTCCTAAATCTAAATCTCTTCACCTACATTTAAAAATTAAACCAATCAACCAAAACCCTCATCTTCAGCACATCCAGGAAATGGAAAACACCTACGTCCATTGATCTCTTTGACCGTATTGGACATTGCTGGAACAACTTGAAGCAGAGTCTGAGGACGAGGAGGCATTCAGGTACCGTGAGACCTACTAGGAGATGATCCTGTGGTGACCCAGGAGAATGTCCTGGTTTGTGGGAAATACATCCTAAAGTGTGTGGCGTTAGAAGACCTCACGGAAACTGGGAGGACATCAGTGTGACAGCTCACTGTCACATGGTTCTGGAAGAAAAGTGTTCGGTACTAGACTTACAACGTCTTTAGAAGTTTAGGCTTGTTTCAAAAATTTGTATGGTTCTGAAAAATGGGGACATAAGAAATACTTCAATTTCAGAATTTGATGTAACAAGATAAATGACTCCAAAAAGCTCCTGGTCATTTTTTTAAAGGCAGGTCCTCCTTCTTTGTTTCCTTCTCTCTCTCTGTGCTCCAGCCTTCGGCAGCCTCTCCCTCCTCTACCTCATCAGCATGGTCAGCCCAGGCCCTTCTAGAGAGGAGAGCAGCTGAGGACTGGAATTGGGACATGTGCACACTTAATCTCTACAGACCCCGGCCCTCACTTTGGTGGAGATGGCAGGCAACTGAATCACCCTCTAAGTCTTCTGTGAACAATGTGTTCCCAATGATTTTTCTGCTTGAAACTCATGACTGCTAAGGGATTTCCCACACAACCTCCCTGGCCCATTTCACCTCCTGAAATCTCTTCCTCTCCCAAACTCTAAGGTTCTCACCATCAACCTCCAGGCTTTCTGTTCTAGAACCTTCCTCTGTCAGGTGTTCTGGATCACACGGGCCAACAGCCTGTACCCCGTGAAAGCTGGGCACAAATATCACCTGCCATTAATCTTCCTTACCCCTCTTTTTAGTCAGACTTCTCCAGAGAAATAGAACCAGTATGACGTGTAGACAGGCAGAGAGATAATAAGGGATCGACTCATGTGCCTATGGAGGCCATCAACTCGACATCTGCAGTGTGGGCCAGCATACTGAAGCCCAGGAGACTCAATGGTGCAGCCGGAATCTGAAGGCAGTCTGTGGGAGAACTCCCTCTTCTTTGCGGGAAGTCATTCTTCCTGTTCTCTTTAGGCCTTCAACTGATTTGACAAGGCCCAGCAATGTTCCGGAGGACATTCTCCTTTACTTGAAATTCACCAATTTAAATGTCAATTTTATCCAAAATACTAAGTGACCAGACAAAATTAACCATCCCACATCCCCAGACTAAATTAATCATCCTCTCTTTCCTTCTGTGGGTCCTCACAACGGAGTCCAGAGTAAGTATATCAACCTGGTATTTGCTTCAGCAGCACATATACTAGAATTGGAACAATAGAAGGTTAGCATAGCCCCTGCACAAGGATGACATGCAAATTCATGAAGAGTTCCATATTTTTTGGGTCGTTGTTGCCATTTTAGTACTTTGTTCTCTTGTTCATCTATTCTTCTCTGGACAGAATGACAAGACGGAAGAACTCACCTCAGAAAAGAGAACAAGAGGCAGTACTGACTGCCAGGGACCTAATCAGCATGGATATAAGTCATATGTCAGAACTAGAGTTCAGAATAAGGATTAAAAAGACACTTAGTTGGGTTTAAAAAAAGCATAGAAGACACTAGAGAATCCCTTTCTGGAGAAATAAAAGAACTAAAATCTAATCAAAGGGTAAGGGAAGGGAAAAATAAAGTAAGGGAAATCAGAGAGACAAACTATTAAGAGACTCTTAATCATAGGAGACTGGGGGCTGCTGGAGGGGATGGTGGTGGGGGGGATGGGGTAACTGGGTGATGGGCATTAAGGAGGGCACTGATGTAATGAGCACTGGGTGTTATATGCAGCTGATAAATCATTAAATTATGTCTGAAACTAATAATACACTATATGTTAATTAATTGAATTTAAATTAAAAAATGAAGAAAAAATAAAATGACATTAAATGTATGTATAATAAAAAAAAACAAAAACAAAGGCAAAGAAGCCTGTTATGTTACCTGCTCCTGAGAGAAATGGCTTTATAAAGAGGAGGTAATATCCTGTCCAGCCCCGGGAGCTTGAGGGGGTGTCTCTGGTGTGTGCCCACTGCACTCCGGCTGTGGTTTGACTGCTCTCTCCCTCAGGTCAGGCTTCTGTTGAGTTTCTCCCTGCCTGCAGTGGGGAGTGTTTGGACCTTGGCCAGAGTCTGTTTTAACTTTTAACTGGGTGTGCCTGGGTCTACTTGTTAAAGGGACCTCATGCTATTTCCACTAGAGCTGAAGCTTTCAGCCCTCTAGGATCAGTAGACTTGGTGCGTGTGGGGGTTTGTGCTCGTTCTGGTGGGGGGCCCGCTGCTCTGGTTCTCAGGCACACTTGCCCTAGTGAAGAAGCACCTGCAGAGTGCAGGGGGTGGGGCGAGGTGTAAGGGGCTCAGGCCTCCACCGTGCTGCTCCCTGAAGTCAGTCCCCCTGATGGGTGGGGGTAAAAATGGCTTCAGCCCACTCCCTCCTCCCCAAAGAGGGGAGTTTGCACCTGCCCCTGTTTGGGAAGCTCTCGCAGAAGAGTAAACAATCTCCCCTCGTATGTCCCAGGCATCCCGCAGACGCCTGCCTTCACCCTGTCAGTGTCCAGGGCTGTCTGCCCCCCCGGGGGGGCAGCGCACCTGTGCTCTGTGCCAGGCACACCGGCCAAGTTTCAAAACTACAGACTTCAGGGACCTGGCGTGGCAGCTGATCCCTTGGGGGAGGGTCTCCCATGCTGGGACTGATGAAGCCTATCCCAGAAAGGAAGCCACACCATTGTGCTCCCCTGCCCCTTAGCATAGTGGCAGAGACACCTCCTGAGGGCCACTAACCTTGACGCTGGCTTTTGGCTGCACTTTACTCCATACCCCAAGCTCTTTTGTGCCCTCAGAGACAAGGCCACTTCTCTCAGATGCTCTCTAAGGAGCGAGGACCCTCTTTCCCAGTGTGTCCCAGGAGATGCTCAGATTGCACCGTCATCTTCCGGGTTACCGGCCCTCCTTCACAGAACCACCGCTATGCCTGTCAGGCTCCACACCAGCCACACTGCCGACTTCTAAAACTCCAGTCTTTGAGCTCTGCTGGTTGTAAAAACTCACTATCATCAACTCATCTCGTTTTCCCAGTCAGTGGCTTTGGGGAAGTGTTTTCCTTGTGTGACCCCCTGTGTGCACCTCCTTCCCTCTGCCTCTCTCTCTCTATCACTTCTCTCCGTAACCAGGGCTCCCTCCCCTCTGCAGGGCCTGCAATGCTTTTCTACCCCAGATCAGGCCTCCGCAACTCCTACCTTCCACCATGTGGCCTCCTCTCTCCCTCTTGTTGTGTAGTTTGCTCTGTCAGTCCTCAGATCGCTGTCTTGGGTGTTCAGAATGATTTGATATTTATCTAGCCGTGTTCGAGGGATGAGGGAAGCCTAGGGTCCTCTTACTACTCCACCACCTTGGCTCCCCTCTCTAACATTGTTTTATTTAAAAGACTTGAGGTTGTCTCTCCAAGGAAAGAATCCCCGAGGTTCTCTAATGTCATATAGTATTTTTTTAAACAATGAACAGGATCATGATGCTGACAAGTATCTCATTTCCAATACCAAAGGAGAAGTTGCACAATAGTCTCTTTGTGTCAGAATTCTTGACCTGCCACGCCAGGCCCCTAAAGTCTGTAGTTTTGAAACTTGGCCGGTGTGCCTGGCATAGAACACAGGTGTACT